GAATTAAGTGAAAGAAATGTGTTAGTATAGTGAAAGCATGTGCTTCTCACCCCCTAGTGGAAATATGTTTAAGAACTATAATTACAAAAAAAAAAAAAAACAAACTCACTGCTGTCGTCAAGTGGATCTCGACTCTTAGTGACCCCTCCTTGGATTTCTGATGTGGTATCTCTATGGAAGTAGATTGACCAATCTTCCTTCCAAGGAGTGGCTGGTGGGTTTGAACCGCCAGACTGCTGGTTAGCAGTCAAATGCCTTAGGCACTACGCCACCAGAGCTCCCAAGAACTATAATTAGATAATCCTAATTTTAAATTTAAATTTGAGATGATATGTATTGGATATTGGAAGAATCAAAACTGACATGTGGCTGATGAGAAAGAAAAAAAGATGGTAATGAAGTTTGAATGAATTATTTAACAAAGTGTTCCTCTGTGGGAGAAATTCGTGGAAACCTCATTGTAATGCATGGAAAACCCCTTTTTAAAATTTTCAGTTCCAAGAGCCAATTTTAAATTATACTCAACTTTTTGTGATTCATACCATGAAGTAAGTACTTTCCCTTGCTTTTTCCTCTATTGTCCACATTCTGTTTAATTTAGCAGTCTCAAGTAGGGTAAGTCATGTACTTTTGTAGAGGGAGAGATGTTTGTAGGTGAGTAACCAGGTTCTGAAAACACAATAGGCATTCAGTACATTCTGCTTCACTTTCTTTCAGTCATTGTTCATCTTTGTGGCAAACAGTGGTTGAGCACCTGCTGTGCTAGACACCATGCTAAGTTCCAGATACACAGTGGTGAGTGAGAGAGATACGATCTCTGCCTTCATGGATCTTTCCAAAGTGTATGAATTACTACTGACCATGTTTTTAAGTTATCTGTGGATTTTATTTATCTATGGTATCTCTGTGCCTAGCATCTTCCCTTTATGATCGATAAAAAGAAATATCTTATTTTTCATTCTTTTTCTAAAAATTTATTTATTATTGTTATTTTTGTAGAGTTTCCTACCACCACCTCTCACCCCTGCTAATTTTTTTTTTTTAATTATTGTTCAAAGTATATACAGCAAAACATACACCAATTCAACAATTTCTACAGGAACAACTCAGTGACATTGATTATATTCTTCACTTGTGTAACTGTTGTCACTCTCCTTCTCTGAATTATTCCCTTCCATTATCATAAACTTACTACCCCCTAAGCTTTCTGTCTAACCTTTGGAGTTGCTATTGTCAATTTGATCTCATACAGATAGCTCCTTAAAAGAACACAATGCTCAAAGCAAACATTCTTTATGAATTAAGCTAAATTGTGGTCTGGTTTAAACAAGACTTCAGGGGATATTTTTGGTTTAAGGTTGAAAGATTACCTCAGGGCCATAGTTTCCAGACCCAATGGTTTCCAGGAAATCTGGATTCCATCAGAATTTGAAATTCTGTTTTGCAGAAATGTTCAATTTTTAGTTTTTAATCTACTTCATGTAGACTGTTCAGCTGTGATTTGAATAGCAGATAGTAGCAATTCATATCATGACAAAAGGCAACTTTCAGAGATGATATTTATATATATATATAAATAACCCATGTTGTAATATTTCACTGCGAGGGCTTGTTATGGTCTGGAGTTGGAGGTCTGGAGGTCTGGAGGTTGCTAGGAAGGTACTGTGAATGAATAGTAATGTATAGACTCATGAACAAGCCTCTTCTAAATTGTATGGAAGAACAATTATGGTCAAAATCAAATGTATTATTTTATCATATATCCACAATTGATGAATTGGGTAATTTATTGGACAAAAGAAGGCAATATGTTCTTCAAATCATTTTTGTTATATGGCTTTTAGAAAACCTTTCATCTTGAAAATAAATTGCTTTGTGAGTTTTCCTGGATTGATGAATTTACCTGCTATAAATGGGACCTGACAAATTAAGTGGGGACTGTCTTTAGACCCTCTGGACATGGCTTGTGCTTCCATGTTGAGATCCCATACCTTTCCCCAATCCTGCCACACATGATCCGAGTAGACACTGACTATGAGTAATGTGCTGTTATGAATGAATAATACACTGTTCTAAATGTTATGCCTGTTGAGAAACAATACACCAGGCCCAGTATGATGGCCTCTTCCCTTGAATAGGGTGTTACAAAGGGAGCCAAGCAAAGTAGTTGCTTTATTCTCCTTAATTCCTGCATGTGCCTTTTCTCACTTCTACTGGTTAAACAAAGATCACCCATTTAGAAGAAGGGGCAGTGCAGGACTTCTCCCCACAGAAGCTGAACTTGGTGCTAGAAAGTTTATGTACATTAAATGTAAAGAAAAAAGTAATGAGTACAGGCCAGAGTAGGAACTTCTATTGTATTCATGGATTAAATTGGTTAGTTGAACTGTTACTGTTTGAGTTTCACAATGACTGTGGCTAAATTAAAAATTACCTTGGAGATGCAAGTTGAAGGATAACTGAACTCTTTTAGTAAATAATAGAATTATTATTTTTTTTTAATAGTATTTTTTGTGTTTTTGGTGAAGGTTTACACAGCAGTTTAGGTTCTCATTAAACAATTTCTAAACACATTTTTCAGTGATATTGGTTACTTTACGTGCATGAACAATCTCATTATTTTCATCCTGGTTGTTCTGTTTCCATTAATCTAGTTTCCCTGGATCCTTACATTCTCATCTTTGTTTTAAAGTAATTGCTGATTGTTTGGTCTCATACAGATAATTTTTAAAAAAGGGATGATTGAATTCAGATTGGCATCATTAAATAAAGAATAAACCACTGTTTTGTTTTTTTTACTTGCAGAGTAAGCTCAGGAGTTTGATGAAAGAGAAGGGTATCTATCAGTGGCTTACTTCTCAGTCCTCCGTGCCTGGAATAGTAATTGGCTTGGGGCAGTAAACTGTTTCTGCTCGGCAATCCTGGCTTCAATCCGCCCACAGGGAGATTCCTTTTAATGCTCCAAATCCCTTCCAGGGCCACTGTCAATATTTTCAAAAATCAGGATAATGATGATTAGCATATTCTGTATTTAGCACAAATTGCTTTTAAAGTATTTAGTTGATTATTTTTTCAATCACTTGGATAGAGTTTATTTGGTTTGATTAATCAAGCCATCTGAGTTCTTTATCATTTATTCAATGCTTTATTTCAATTCATTTATTCAAAAATTCCCTATGTGCATATCAAACCTGAACAATGCTATTAGATAAATTGCCCCCAAACAAATACAGATGAAAACTCAGTATAGAAGCATACATTAAAAAATGCAGAAGGATCAGAAAAAAGGAGCTCTGGTAGCACAGTGCCTAAGGTACTTGACTGCTAACCAGAAAGTTGGCGGTTCAAACCCACCAGCCACTCCTTGAAAGGAAGGTTGGGCAATCTACTTCCCAAGGATGGGTCACTATGAGTCGGTCCGACTCAATGGCACATAACAACAACAACAGGTAAATGTCAGTCAACTACTTTCTCTGATTCTGATTTAATTCTTACAAGTGGAAATATTTCCAAAGATAAGAACCAAATTTAAAAAAAAAAAAAAATCAAAAATCAATTATTCCAATGGATCAAAAACCTTCCTAAAGTCTTGAGCTAGATGTTCTTTAATTCACTCTTTAAAGAAACAACAAAATCATTGGATCCCACATTTACAGCACTATATAGCAAAATGTTTAGGAAGTGATGTTTCCATATATATATACAATACAAATTTATGAGTCTTGTATTCTGATTATTCAAAAATTATTGGTTTAGTAATGACTTGCACTATGCTATTCCCATGTCCTAAAATCACTTGTGTAGGAAGACACTTGACTGCTAAGCAGAAGGCTGGCAGTTCAAACCCACCAGGCGCTCCTCGGAAGGAATGTTGGGCAATCTACTTCCGTAGTGATACTGCCTCGGAAACCCAAGGAGGGGTTGCTATAAGTCGGATCTGACTTGATGGCAGTTAGTTTGGTTTTGGTTTTTTTAACCAAGCATTTGGTGAAAATTGGTATACAAAACTGCCACCCAAATCAAGAAAAGTGGTAAATTAGTGTCATGAGTTTTTTACCCCATTTCTGAGGCTATACTTTTTTTTTTTTTTTTTTTGGTGTAAGTATACACAGTCAAAAATAAACCATCTCAACTATTCCTATATGTACAATTCAGTGACATTGATTACATTCTTTAAGTTGTGCTACTGTTCTTGCCATCATTTTCCAAACTTTTCCACCCCATTATCTTAAATTCACTGCCCCTTAAGCTTCCCATCCAACTTTTTAGAGTTGTGGTTATCAGTTTGACCTCACTAGATAATTCTTGAAAAAAGCAAAATGCTTAAAGCAGATGTACTTTACTAATTAAGATAAGCTATTTTATTGGTTCAAAGAAGACGTCAGGGGATAGTTTTGATTTAAGTTTAAAGTTTAAAGATCATCTCAGGCAATAGTTTGGGGAGGTCATCCAGCCTCACTTGCTCCAGAGAGACTGGATTCCATTGAGCTGAGGCTGTAAAATTTCATGCCAAATATTCTCCATAGACCCTAGGCTGACACTTGATTCTTCTCCATACATTAGGAGCACAGTCTTCAGGTTCAGCTGAGATCTGGGTCTCTGCTCCATCTACCAAGTGTATGACTTTGGGCAGGTTATTTAACCAGTTGTGTCTCATCTTCTCATCTTTGAAATGAGGGATAACAATAACCTTAAAGGATTATCAGAGTCCCTGGTGGGTGCAAATGGTTAATGCACTTGACTGCTAATTGGCAGTTTAGGTCCACTCAGTGGCACCTCAGAAGAAAGACTTGGCAATAAATATACTTGTGAAAAATCAGCCACTGAAAACCCCATGCAGCACAGCTCTACTTTGACACACAGGGCATTGCCATGGGCAGGGATGGACTTGATGGCAACTGTTTCTTTCTTTCTTTTTTTTTTTTTTTAAAGAAAGAAAAGATTATTACAGGATTTGGGTGAAATGGGTACAAAGTGTTTTGCACTCAATAAATGGAAGCTGTTCTTTTTTATAGGAACAATGATTTTTCTGTCCCAGCTTAGACTCAGATTCAGTTTTTAGAGGCACAATCACTGAGCTAACTCGTGAAGCTAATGTCAATACTTGCCTCTTCTCCCACTCCTGAATGGAGAAGCTGAAGCTGTCTAGATTACTCTCTTCTCTTCTCTTTAAAGATCTTCAAGGAAGTCTCCACAATCTCCTTCTGTCAAGACTTTAAAAGTTTAAACTGTTTCTTTTATCTAACCTGAATCTACCCCTGCTGTTGAAGATAGTTTCCTCTTCCTCTATCCCGTCTAGAGATAGAAAAGCATAGATCTCCAGCCTCTAGGGAATAGACCCTTACATTTAGAAGCCCACAGACATTTATGAAATACCTGTTGTGCATGACACCTTGTAAGATGAAGGAAATAGATTTAGATCTGTCCATACCCTGGAAAGTTTTGGTAAATGGAAAACAGTTTGAAATAAGCAGGCAGATTATGTGACAATCCATACCAAATTAGATAGAAGAATTGTACTAGTGTCAGTTGTGTTCTTTTGGAGGCAATCACAGGAATAACTACAATTTCACAGCTAATTGGGAAGATAACAAGTATAAATTTAGATCATAAAAAAAGCAAACCTCAAAGCAAAATACAGTTATGCATATATATTTACTGTACTCAGAGATGGAGGCTGCAGGAAAAATACTGCTTATTTTGATTCAATATGATGTTTGGGTAAAGAGGTTATGGAAGGCAATATGTTTGACTAGAGATAAAGAAGTAGGAAGAAGATGGACAGCCTGTGAGGTAGCTGCTTCTTTTAAGATGAATCTAGCTTTCTTGGCTCTGAGTTTGTGCATCCCAGGAGCAGGAAGAAAGACAAGGGAGGAGCAGAGACAGGAACCCCAGTGTTGGTGGTGACCTTTCCTGAAAAGGAAAGTGGCAGAGGTACAGGAGAGTAGCTAAGAGAAAGGAATCAAATCCTTTCCTGAGGCTCAGAAGCTTCCAGAGATCCCTCTCTCGTCCCTTCTCATGTCCCCAATCTCTTCCACTCAGAGGCCTTTTTAAGGATTATTTTATTTTACCCTGAGTTTTAAAGTGACTAAACCATGACTTTATGTCAGTAATTTTAGCCAAGGGGGCCTGGTCTGGTCTTACAGGAAAGGTAAGCTCACCCTTTTAAAACACTTTTGTTTGCTTCCACTGTCTCATTTGGACTGTGAACAATGACTATTAGAGCTTGAAAAGCTAGTTTACAGTCATATTATCTAAACTTCCCTGTGTAAACATGGTTGGTGAGAGATTTGACCAGAAGAAGAAAAATCTAAGTAATTTTAATTTATGCTTGGTGGCATCTAGTTGGTTAGTTAGATGCCACTGAGTTGATTTCAATGCATAGTAATTCCATGGACACAGTAGAACTGTCCCATTGGCTTTTCTAGGCTGTAATCCTTATGGGAGCAAATCGTCAGGTCTTTCTCCTGTGGAGCCACTGGGTGGGTTTGAATTGCTAGCCTTTTGGTTAGCAGCCGACTATGTGATCCTTGCACCACTAGGGCTTCTTTAGACTCTGTAATGACCTTGACATGACCTTGGCATCCAGTACACTCTTTGTGTATTGTTAACTACATACAGCATTTTTGTTGAATGAATGAATGAGTAACAAAGACGTCTACATTTGCTCAGTAACATTTTCTATTTTCTAAATCTTACCAAACATTAGTAAATAAGTGAGACTCAAAATTAAGTTTCCAAGTATTAAGGTACAGACACAAATTAATGGATTTAGCAGTACACTTTTGAAATTCCTTGGAAAAGGAACTGTTAAGTAAGAGAAAACCAGTAAGCATCATGACTATTGCAAGCTCTGCAGATTTTAGCCAGAAAAAATGGAAAGCCCTTGCAATTCAAAAATCATTAAATTAATATGTTAATTAAATTATGCAAAATTCTCTATAGAAATTCTTAGAAATGTAGATGATATAGTTTTAAAATAAACAGTAAAATAACTGCAGTAGTTCAATAATGAATGTCTCACAAACCTACTTTTACTTTTTTAAAAGTTCTAAGGAGCCGAAACCTGAATGATGAGGTTAGCCAATTTTTTTCTTATCTGGGAAGTTCCAAAAGATACCCTAAATTCCATTTTCATCTGATCAGAAGATCTGATCTGCCTGGAATGTGTAAAGCCTCTGAAACCTGTTCTGCCTCAAGTTTGAACCTAGTGAAGATTGTGAAAGCCTTTTCACTGAAGAGAATACCACTTGCTACAAATACAATTTCAGATCTTTTTCCTCTCAGAAGACATAATCTTATGTTTTAAAGAGAGACAGTATACCTCAATGACTAAGAGCAAGAAGCTTAGCTTCTGACAAGCCTGCATTCAAGTATCAGATATTTCATTTGCTTGCTGTGTGACATTGAGCAGGTCACTATACCTCTTTGAGCCTCAATTGCTGCATCTGAAAAGTGTGAATAAGAAGAGCATATGTCTCACAGGGTTGTTTTAAGAATTAAAAGAAATAACTTGTAAAGACTATCACACTTAAAAGACACTCCATAATGACAGCCATCATCATCATCACCACGACCACCACCACCACCACCATCATAGTCATCATTATCATTATATAGGGAGACACCCCTTGCCCTCTCCCCTCACTCCTAGCATTCAATGTTTGTCACTGAGCCCACATATCTCTGTATAGGATCCTAGAAGTGAATCAAAAGCACACAGAAGGGAGGCTTAGAGGGCTGGCAGCCTATTTTATTCCTATTTTCATGATGTCATCCCTTAGACCCAAGGACAGGGTGTACAGTAACAACTACCTGGGGCACCTTGGATGGCCATTTTGAGGACTATACAATCTCTATCAACTGTTGTCATGACATGACCACAAGAACAGGTAGGAAAGCTCAATCAGTCGAAGGCCCCAGACAGCACCTATTGCTACCCATATAATAATATTCAAAAAGAAATGTATTGCTCACTGAA